GGGCTTTTATCGCTCTTCAGGGTTTTCCTGTTCCAAAATGGTATAGAATATGGCTGAGGTAGACCACACGCAGGCTGAGGTTCAACCTATTAGGGCTGCAAAAAATTCTTGGCTTTTCGTCGCCAGTCTGGAAACAGCTGTTTTAGTAACATCATGAGAAAGACCAAGCACTCCGCAATAGTAGATCCCCTTCTGGTGTGCGCCACACTCTTTACTTACATTCAGAATTACGATAACAATTGAATGTGTTGCGGCATATGCAGTTAAATGCAAATGGCACGATAAATCGGCAAGATGTATAGGGTAAGTATACCTAGCACGGTAGAATACACTGTGCTCCCGAGGAGGGGCTGTGTGGTGCCTTTTCCAACCAGGGACGCCATTATAGTGCCGAACTAAGGTGCAACATCTCGACTCGAATGCCCTCTGCAACAGCCCGCCCACAAGTGGGCGGACAGTCACATCGACGCTGGTACTCTTATCGTTTCATTTATGAAGTACAATTGATATGAAGCGTTGCTACATGGATATATGAATACATGCGTGCAGCCGTATCTACAAAAGCGGTAGTTGGCACGATGCCAGCGGGAACCTCGTCCACAAATGTTCGTCCAGCGCGCAGGGCAAAGGTTTTCCACAGGTTTTTGGCCATTAATCTTCGCTTTTTCGTCCATTTCACGCTACATACAATCGTGCTACTACTTTTGAGCAAGCACTAAATTATCGCCCACGCCGTCGCGATTTTCGCTGTTCCTGTTTAACGTCGCCACGTATTCCTTTCTATCCAAGCAACTTCAATCTTGAATTCAGTGAGTTCCTCCCTTATGGGAACTCACTGAATGGATCTTCCACCTCTCCTTTGGGGCTCCTTGTTAACGTTTGCTTAGGACTTTGAAGTCTAGTGTTTCCTGTCAGGTGGTTTACAGGTCTCCTTAGCACATGCCCGTACCGTCGTATTCGCTGTTCTCATGCCTTATTTTGGACGGAGCCGTCTGCAGGGCTGCTCTGACAGAGGCACGTCGTACGCCAAGGGTCTCTAATGAGTGGCTCTTATTTGGTCGCTTGGAAGGAGAAGCAATCCTACTTGCCTTCGAAAAACTTTTTGTTTATTGAATTTCCTTCCTTTCCCGTTTCACGTGCAGGTAACCCTACCCCCTCCCCCTCATCACCCTTCGACGGCAGCTTCTTGAGGAGAATAAGGAGGTTTTTGAGAGAAACTACGAGAAAGTTGGTAGGAAGTCAGGAGAATTTGCGCGATGGTGGGTGCGGTGGGTGAGAGGGAGTTGAGACC